GCTGCATGTAGCTTCAAGCACAGCAGGCCTTCTGGTGCCCAGTGCGAGGCCCGAAGGCTTGAGGGAACGGCAGAGCCAAGCGCAGCGTGCCCGAGAGAACAGCCCTGCGGGGATCAGCCCACGACACGGCGCTGCCGCCGGCGCCGGGCCTAGGGCCGGCTGCGGGACTGGTGGCGACAGTGCCCGGAGGGGCCGGGGGCAGTGGCAGTCCCACAGGGAGGAGAGGTGGCCCTGGCTTTGTGTACAAGTGGCCCAACGGTGTCTGGGGTGACCTAGCCCCTGGCAGCTCCCCCCAGCCCCCTGCTCCATGTGGGCTCCTCTCCACCGGCTGCAGCTCCGGCCCGGGGCCTGCTCCTGTGGGGGCTCTCCATGGGCCGCAGCCTCCTCCAGGCCACATCCACCTGCTCCACCGGAGGCTCCTCCACACATGGGGGGGCTGCAGCTGGGAGATCTGCTCCGTGGGGGACCCATGGGTGCAGGGGGACAGCCTGCTCCACCAGGGGCCTCTCCACAGGCTGCAGGGGAACTTGTGCTCTGGTTCATGGAGCACCTCCTGCCCTCCTGCTGCACTGACCTTCTCACAGAGACCACCTCAGCATCACCACACTACCAAGACCTTGCCAATACAGATTCACAGAACAGCAAACTGAAAAAAAAACAAAAACACAAATGCACACAGCTTTTAACAAGCCCTCGGATATGATAAATAGAAAAAAGAGAGAACACAGCACAGGATCACGCAGCATCACACTGAAAGATATTAAGAGCAAACCAGACAACATTGTGGGCAGCAATACAAAAAATATGTTCGACAAATATGATCATTGTAGGCTCCTCTGAAGCACTCTGGTCAAATTTCTTGTTATCTCCACCCCCCTGAGCCTCTCAATGGATGCCAAAAGGCTGCCGTGGTTTCATATCGATGTCTAACTAAAACCACAACTGCTCTCTCATTGCTCCTCAGAGACAGAGGGGAGGCAGAAAGGATGACACAAAGAAAAAGGCTAAGGTGTTGAGAGAAGGAAAATTGAAATACAAAAGAAAAAGAAAAAAAAAATAAATGCCAATCCACACGGAAGCAAAGAGAAAGCAGTTACTCTCTACTGCCCATCAGCAAGCAAGGTCAGGCACATCTTGGGAAGCAGGGCCCCAATACACATATCTGTTGTCTGGGAGGAAAAACCTCTCTCAATTACTTTCCAATGGTCTTGGGAATCCAGAGAGATCCCGGTCTATTGGAAGATGGCAAATGTGGTTCCAGTTTTCAGCAAGAGCGAGAAAGAAGACCCTGGTAACGACAGACCTGTCAGTCTCATTTCAGTGCCTGGTAAAATCATGGAGAAAATTATCCCAGGAGTTATTGAAAAGCACCTGAGGGACAAGGCAGTCCCTGGTCACAGCAAGCAGAGGGTTCATGAGGGGAAGGCCCCGCTTAACGAACTTAATTTCCTTTCATGACAAAGTTACCCACATAGTTGACCAAGGGATGGCAGCTGATGAAATCTTTTTGTATTTCGGCAAAGCGTTTGATACGGTTTCTCAAAGTTTCCCTCAGGACTAAATGTGCAGCACACAGCTAGACAGGTTCCTAATGTGCTGGGTGAACAACTGGCTGGTGGGTCAGGCTCCAAGGGTGCTAGTAAATGGGGTTACATCAGGCTGACGGCCAGTTACTCATGGGGTTCCCCGGGGCTCTGTTTTGGGGCCAGTTTTTGTCAATGTTTTTATAAAGAAAAACATTGACATTTATTTTTATAAATGAAAATTATGTTATTTATTTTCATAAACGAAAGCATTGACATTCAGAAATTTCATTTCTGTGTCTGGAGGACTGCTAGTGAAAATAGGAGCAGGAGTTTTATCCGACAAAACCCCTTTGTGATTGTTTGTCCTAGCAACTCACATCTCTGCAGGTATCAGTACAGGTATCAGTACAGGTATCAGGCCCTGGTGGCCAAGAGGGCCAACAAGATCCTGGCGGGCATTAAAAGGAGCGTGGCCAGCAGGTCAAGGCAGGAGATCCTCCCCCTCTGCTCTGCCCTGGTCAGGCCTCACCTGGAGTACTGGGTCCAGTTCTGGGCTCCCCGGTACAAAAAAGACAGGGATCTCCTGGAAAGAGTCCAGCAGAGGGCCACAAGGATGATCCGGGGCCTGGAGCATCTTCCCTTTGAGGAGAGGCTGAGAGACCTGGGGCTGTGCAGCCTGGAGAAGAGAGGACTGAGAGGGGATGTCCTCAATGTGTACAAATACCTGAGGGGTGGGAGGCAGAGGGATTTGGCCAACCTCTTTCAGTGGTCTGTGGGGACAGGACAAGGGGCAGTGGCCACAAAATGGAGCCCAGGCAGTTCCGCACCAACATGCGAAAGATCCTCTTCTTTGAGAGAACTGGCAGAGGAGCTGGCCAAGCCGCTTTCCATCATTTATTGGCAGTCCTGGCTATCGGGGGAGGTCCCAACTGACTGGCGGCTAGCAAACGTGACGCCCGTATACAAGAAGGGCGGGAGGGCAGACCCAGGGAACTACAGGCCTGTCAGTTCAACCTCAGTGCCAGGGAAGCTCATGGAGCAGATCCTCTTGACAGTCATCACGCAGCACTTGCAGGGCAAGCAGGTGATCAGGCCCAGTCAGCATGGGGCTATGAAAGGCAGATCCTGCTTGACGAACCTGGTCTCCTTCTATGACAAAATTACACGCTTGGTGGATGAGGGAAAGGCTGTGGATGCGGTCTACCTTGACTTCAACAAGGCTTTTAACACAGTTTCCCACAGCATTCTCCTCAAGAAACTGGCTGCTCTTGGCTTGGACTTGTGTACGCTTCATTGGGTTAAAAATTGGCTGGATAGCCAGGCCCAAAGAGTTGTATTGAATGGAGTCAAATCCAGTTGGAGTCCGGTCACTAGTGGCATCCCCCGGGGCTCGGTGCTGGTGCCGGTCCTCTTTAATATCTTCATCAATGATCTGGATGAGGGCATTGAGTGCACCCTCAGTAAGTTCGCAAATGACACCAAGTTAGGTGCGTGTGTTGATCTGCTCGAGGGTAGGAAAGCTCTGTAGGGGGATCTCGGACCGATGGGCTAAGGCCAACTGCATGAAGTTCAACAAGGCCAAGTGCCGGGTCCTGCACCTGGGGCACAACAACCTGAAGCAGAGCTACAGGCTGGGAGATGAGTGGTTGGAGAGCTGCCAGGCAGAGAAGGACCTGGGAGTGATGGTTGATAGTCGGCTCAATGTGACCCAGCAGTGTGCTCAGGTGGCCAAGAAGGCCAACGGCATCCTGGCTTGTATCAGAAACAGTGTGGCCAGCAGGGCTAGGGAGGTGATCGTCCCCCTGTACTCGGCTCTGGTGAGGCCGCACCTCGAGTCCTGTGTTCAGGTTTGGGCCCCGCGCTACAAGAAGGACACCGAGGTGCTTGAGCGGGTCCAGAGAAGGGCGAAGAAGCTGGTGAGGGGCCTGGAGAACAAGTCCTACGAGGAGCGGCTGAGGGAGCTGGGCCTGTACAGCCTGGAGAAAAGGGGGCTCGGGGATGACCTTATTGCTCTCTACAGGCACCTTAAAGGAGGCTATAGCAAGGTGGGGGTTGGTCTGTTCTCCCATGTGCCTGGTGACAGGACGAGGGGGAATGGGCTAACGTTGTACCAGGTGAGGTTTGGGTTGGATGTTAGGAAGAACTTCTTTACTAAAAGGGTTGTGAGGCATTGGAACGGGATGCCCAGGGAAGTGGTGGAGTCACCATCCCTGGAAGGCTTTAAAAGACGTTTAGATGTAGAGCTCAGTGATATGGTTTAGTGGAGGACTGGTTAGTGCTAGTTCAGAGGTTGGACTCGATGATCTTGAGGTCTCTTCCAACCTAGAAATTCTGTGATTCTGTGATTCTTCACGGTGAGGGTGACGGAGCTCTGGGACAGGCTGCCCAGGGAGGCTATGGGGTCTCCTTCTCTGGGGATATTCAAGGCCTGTCCCTGTCTGGATGCCTACCTGGGCAGCCTGCTCTAGGGAACTGCTTTGGCAGGGGGTTTGACCCGATGATCTCCTGAGGTCACCTCCAACACCTCCATTTCCGTGATTCTGGGATTCTGGGATCTTCTTTGGCACACCTTCCCTTCACACCTGACAGAAGACAACTCCAGAATGCCCCCTTCCCTGGCGAGGGATCCCAGCTGCCTGGCTTCCCTGCCCTCTAATTGCAGACCATGGCTCCGCTGTCCCAGCACCAGAGCAGCCAGGTGACAAGGTGTTCACCTGGACAACGACTGAAATCTTTTCGCCTATCTCCTAGCTCATGCTGGAATAGGCATCGGGTAGTTCCTGATGCTCTCATGATACCTTCCTCTTCATCTTCCTGTTCCTCTGATGGCCCCGCCACTCTGGAGCAGCCTGCCTCGTCTTCTTCCTCCTCCCCAGTCTGAGTGGGAGTTCCTCTGCATTCTAAGCAAGCTGTGGGAGAAGCTAAGGTTTACAAATTACAATTGTTAAACAACAATTTTGTTTTAACACGCTGTGGTCAGATCTGTCCTTATCTCAACCCTTTGGGCCCCATGCTGGACATCAAAGGACTGCTGTGGTTTAACCGGACAGCATCTCAGCACCACAGAGCCGTTTGCTTTGTCGTTGTGAGCAGCACAGAAGTCCTTGGCTGTGTCAGCACTGCTCAGCAGCATCTAAGCCAGCAGTGTGTTATCAGCACCATTCTCATCCTAAAACCAAAGCCCCACACCAGCTACGGTGATGAAAAGCAACTCGATCCCAGACAAAACCAGGACAAGCCAGTGTCCCCTCCTGCAGGAGCCCCTCTGCACTGAGGGCTGCAGAGCCTGCGCCTCACCTCTCAGCACCCAAGGGACTGGGATCCACACACGCGTGCACTAGAGCGTGGGAAACTGATACAAGGTGATTTCCTGTTGGTTTCCCTGCAGCCTTTTGCAACAGCCCAGCAGCAACTGGGTGGTCATGGGGGGCTGGAACACAAACTGTCTGGGGGTTGCTATAAAAAGGCAGAGCAGCCAGCTCCACGCACCCTGCAGCAGCGCCGAGCCGTGGGTCCTGCATGCAACAGAGCAGAGGTAACATCTCACTGCAGCACCAGGGCTCCTCCTGGCACAAATGCTGCGGCCTCAGAGGATGTCGGGGCTGCACGGGGGAACCCAGGTGTCTGCGGTGTTTGATGCAAGTAGTTGGGCTGGAGTCCGGGCCGGTATCAGGGTGGGGAAGACCCAGGTGGCCGTGGCTGGGGACACACACTGCGGGTGCTTCCCTCTGGTGCCAGGGGGGCCATGGGCGGCTTTGGAGGTGCCCCTGATGCATCTGCTCCGCTTCTCCCTGCAGCCTTCTCCGACCCTGCGCTCTCCCCCTAGCAGACGCCCGTGCCCTGTACTGCTGCACTCAGCGGCTGAGCTCAGCCGGTTGCAGAGGACCGGGTCCTGCGCTGCCTGGGGCATCCCCGCTCGTGGCTGGACCCCCGGAGCTTCCTGCACATGGAGCACCTCGGCCTGGGCTGGGTGCTGCTGGCCGGCACCTTGGCTGGCACCTTGGCCACCAGAAGCACCTGTAAGCAAGAGCCCGGCTGCATCAGGGAGGAGGCGATGGACATGGCCCAGAACTCCTTCGATGACCGGTACCAGGACTGCAGATGCGAGATGAAAGAGGAGCTTAAAAAGGTGAACCGCACTGAATTCAAAAACCGGCTCTATGCAGACACCTGGAAAGAAGCAAACGAGACGTGGCAGAACTCCACCGATCTGCAGGTGCTGCGGTGGGAGTACGCGGTGGCCGTGCTGGCCTACACTGCTGATACAGGCCTGCACTGTGAGTTCAACGAGGCCGTGTGTGAGGGTGGTCGCTCCCGCAGGTACTACCTCCAATCCTTCCACTTCAAGACGCTGCATTTCCTCCTGACCGAGGCCCTGCACACTCTGCGGAAAGCCCAGGGCCACAGATGCTACCACGTCTACCGCGGCGTCAGGGGCATCCGCTTTACGGCCCAGCTCCACCAGACCGTCCGCTTCGGCCGGTTTGCCTCTACCTCCCTCCAGAAGAATGCTACCGAGAGATTTGGCCAGGACACCTTATTCTTTGTGTACACCTGCTACGGTGTCCCCATCTGGAACTTCTCCTTCTTCCCTGAGGAGAAAGAAGTCCTCATCCCACCTTATGAGGTCTTCAAGGTCACCGATGTCACCCATTACCCAAAAGAAACCCACATCCATCTCCGCTCCCATGGTGTGCGCAGCACCTACAACTGTGCACTGCTGAATGGTAAGGGCAGGCAGCAGGGTGGGTACCATCAGGAGATGGGCACAGCCCTGGGCAGACGCCGCCGTGCTCCCCGTGCTCCTCCAGCCATGGCTGCAGAGGAACGGGGGCCCCGTGCCACCGGCTCTGTGAGGGGAAGGGGAGCCTCGTGGTGAAGGCAACACCTCCGTGTGGGGAGCATGGGGAGCCTGGGGAGCTTGGGGAGCTTGGGGAGCTTGAAATAACGTGGAGCTGCTGTGTGGAGGCATGGGGGTGTGTAGAGAAGGAGGAGCAGGAGGACCTGCTGAGGGGTTAGGTTTGGGGTATAAAAGGGCCGGTCAGTGTTTGTGTGTCCTATCGTCGCATTTCTCGCATTAAAGCTTTTCTCTTTGCACACTCGCAGCCTTTCCCATGTGTCCGCGTGCTGAGAGGCCTACGTGCCAGCTCCTGGCGAGGCCTCTGTGTGTGCGAGTGAGCTCAGTGCCAGCTCCTGCAGCCAGATCCAAGTGTCCCTTCTCTCCCCAGCCCTGCTGGGGAGGAGGGGAGCGAGCGGCTGTGCGGTGCTGAGCTGCCTGTAGCTTCAAGCACAGCAGGCCTTCTGGTGCCCAGTGCGAGGCCCGAAGGCTTGAGGGAACGGCAGAGCCAAGCGCAGCGTGCCCGAGAGAACAGCCCTGCGGGGATCAGCCCACAACACGGCGCTGCCGCCGGCGCCGGGCCTAGGGCCGGCTGCGGGACTGGTGGCGACAGTGCCCGGAGGGGCCGGGGGCAGTGGCAGCCCCACGGGGAGGAGAGGTTGAGATAAGGGCAGGGAGATCACTCAGCCATTATCGTAATGAGCGAAAGAGACTCAGAGTAGGAAGATGAGTATCATTTATTGCCTATTACTAACAAGCTAGAGCAGTTAGAAAACAAACAAAAAACAAACTCCAACACCTTCCCCTCATCCATCTCTTCCACCTTCTCCCCCCTGAGCAGTGCAGGGGAACGGGCAATGGGGGCTGCGGTCAGTCCCTGACGCTTCATCCCCGCCACCCCTCACGGTCCCTCTGTGCCCCTGCTCCCCGTGGGGTCCCTCCCATGGATGCCGTCCTTCCCCAACTGATCCTTCAGGGGCTTCAAGAACTGCTCCCACACGGCTCCGTCCCACGGGGTCCATCCCCCAGTCCCAAACTGCTCCAGCACCAGTCCCCCACAGGTGCTGGCAGCTCCCCCCAGCCCCCTGCTCCATGTGGGCTCCTCTCCATGGCTGCAGCTCCAGCCCGGGGCCTGCTCCTGCGGGGGCTCTCCATGGGCCGCAGCCTCCTCCAGGCCACATCCACCTGCTCCACCGGGGGCTCCTCCACCCATGGGGGGGCTGCAGCGTGGAGATCTGCTCCGTGTGGGACCCATGGGTGCAGGGGGACAGCCTGCTCCACCAGGGGCCTCTCCCTGCACAGGCCGCAGGGGAACTTGTGCTCTGGTTCATGGAGCACCTCCTGCCCTCCTGCTGCACTGACCTTCTCACAGAGGCCACCTCAGCAGCCCCCCTCTATCAAGACCTTGCCAATACAGATTCACAGAACAGCAAACTGAAAAAAAAAACAACACATATGCACACAGCTTTTAACAAGGCCTCGGATATGATAAATAGCAAAAGAGAGAACACGGCACAGGATCACGCAGGATCACACTGAAAGATATTAAGAGCAAACCAGACAACATTGTGGGCAGTAAATCAACAAATATGTTCGACAAATATGATCATTGTAAGCTCCTCTGAAGCACTCTGGTCCAATTTCTTGTTATCTCCACCCCCTGAGCCTCTCAATGGATGCCAAAAGGCTGCCGTGGTTTCACATCGATGTCTAACTAAAACCACAACTGCTCTCTCATTGCTCCTCAGAGACAGAGGGGAGGCAGAAAGGATGACACAAAGAAAAAGGCTAATGTGTTGGGAGAAGGAAAATTGAAATACAAAAGAAAAAGAAAAAACAAAATAAAAGCCAATCCACACGGAAGCAAAGAGAAAGCAGTTACTCTCTACTGCCCATCAGCAAGCAAGGTCAGCCACATCTTGGGAAGCAGGGCCCCAATTCACATACCTGTTGTCTGGGAGGAAAATCCTCTCTCAATTACTTTCCAATGGTCTTGGGAATCCAGAGAGATCCCGGTCTATTGGGAGATGGCAAATGTGGTTCCAGTTTTCAGCAAGAGCGAGAAAGAAGACCCTGGTAAGGACAGACCTGTCAGTCTCATTTCAGTGCCTGGTAAAATCATGGAGAAAATTATCCCAGGAGTTATTGAAAAGCACCTGAGGGACAAGGCAGTCCCTGGTCATAGCAAGCAGAGGGTTCATGAGGGGAAGGCCCCGCTTAACGAACTTAATTTCCTTTCATGACAAAGTTACCCACATAGTTGACCAAGGGATGGCAGCTGATGAAATCTTTTTGTATTTCGGCAAAGCGTTTGATACGGTTTCTCAAAGTATCCCTCAGGACTAAATGTGCAGCACACAGCTAGACAGGTTCCTAATGTGCTGGGTGAACAACTGGCTGGTGGGTCAGGCTCCAAGGGTGCTAGTAAATGGGGTTACATCAGGCTGACGGCCAGTTACTCGTGGGGTTCCCCAGGGCTGTTTTGGGGCCAGTTTTTGTCAATGTTTTCATAAATGAAAACACATTTATTTTTATAAATGAAAATTATGTTATTTATTTTCATAAATGAAAGCATTGACATTCAGAAATTTCATTTCTGTGTCTGGGGGACTGCTGCTGGAAACTGCAGCAGCAGTTTTATCAGACAAAACCCCTTTGTGATTGTTTGTCCTAGCAACTCACATCTCCGCAGGTATCAGTACAGGCTGGGGGATGACCTGCTGGAGAGGAGCTCTGAGGAGAAGAGCCTGGGGGTCCTGGTGGGTGACAGGTTGTCCATGAGGCAGCAGTGTGCCCTGGTGGCCAAGAGGGCCAAGGGGATCCTGGCGGGCATTAAAAGGAGCGTGGCCAGCAGGTCGAGGGAGGTGATCCTCCCGCTCTGCTCTGCCCTGGTCAGGCCTCACCTGGAGCACTGGGTCCAGTTCTGGGCTCCCCGGTACAAAAAAGACAGGGATCTCCTGGAAAGAGTCCAGCGGAGGGCCACGAGGATGATCCGGGGCCTGGAGCATCTTCCCTGTGAGGAGAGGCTGAGAGACCCGGGGCTGTGCAGCCTGGAGAAGAGAGGACTGAGAGGGGATCTCCTCAGTGTGTATAAATACCTGAGGGGTGGGAGGCAGAGGGATTTGGCCAACCTCTTTCCAGTGGTCTGTGGGGACAGGACAAGGGGCAGTGGCCACAAAATGGAGCCCAGGCAGTTCCGCACCAACATGCGAAAGATCCTCTTCTTTGAGAGAACTGGCGGAGGATGTGGCCAAGCCGCTTTCCATCATTTATCAGCAGTCCTGGCTATCAGGGGAGGTCCCAGTTGACTGGCGGCTAGCAAACGTGACGCCCATCTACAAGAAGGGCTGGGGGGCAGACCCAGAGAACTACAGGCCTGTCAGTTTGACCTCAGTGACAGGGAAGCGCATGGAGCAGATCCTCTTGAGAGTCATCATGCGGCACTTGCAGGGCAAGCAGGCGATCAGGCCCAGTCAGCATGGGGTTATGAAAGGCAGGTCCTGCTTGATGAACCTGATCTCCTTCTGTGACAAAGTGACGCGCTGGGTGCATGAGGGAAAGGCTGTGGATGTGGTCTGCCTTGACTTCAACAAGGCTTTTAACACGGTTTCCCACAACATTCTCCTCAAGAAACTGGCTGTTCGTGGCTTGGACTGGCGCATGCTTCGTTGGGTTAAAAACTGGCTGGATAGCCGGGCCCAAAGAGTTGTGGTGAATGGAGTCAAATCCAGTTGGAGGCCGGTCACTAGTGGCGTTCCCCGGGGCTCGGTGCTGGAGCCGGTCCTCTTTAATATCTTCATCACTGATCTGGACGAGGGCATTGAGTGCACCCTCAGTAAGTTCACAGATGACACCAAGTTAGGTACGTGTGTCGATCTGCTCGAGGGTAGGAAGGCTCTGCAGGAGGATCTGGATAGGCTGCACCGATGGGCTGAGGTCAACTGCATGAAGTTCAACAAGGCCAAGTGCCGGGTCCTGCACCTGGGGCGCAATAACCCCAAGCAGAGCTACAGGCTGGGAGATGAGTGGTTGGAGAGCTGCCAGGCAGAGAAGGACCTGGGAGTGATGGTGGACAGTCGGCTGAATATGAGCCAGCAGTGTGCTCAGGTGGCCAAGAAGGCCAACGGCATCCTGGCTTGTATCAGAAGCAGTGTGGCCAGCAGGGCTAGGGAGGTGATCGTCCCCCTGTACTCGGCTCTGGTGAGGCCACACCTCGAGTACTGTGTTCAGTTTTGGGCCCCTCGCTACAAGAAGGACATCGAGGTGCTTGATCGAGTCCAGAGAAGGGCGACGAAACTGGTGAGGGGCCTGGAGAACAAGTCCTACGAGGAGCGGCTGAAGGAGCTGGGCTTGTTCAGCCTGGAGAAGAGGAGGCTCAGGGGTGACCTGATTGCTCTCTACAGATACCTTAAAGGAAGCTGTAGTGAGGTGGGGGTTGGTCTGTTCTCCCACATGCCTGGTGACAGGACGAGGGGGAATGGGCTAACGTTGTACCAGGGGAGGTTTGGGTTGGATGTTAGGAAGAACTTCTTTACTAAAAGGGTTGTGAGGCATTGGGATGGGCTGTCCAGGGAAGTGGTGGAGTCACCATCCCTGGAGGTCTTTAAAAGACATTTAGATGTAGAGCTTAGTGATATGGTTTAGTGGAGGACTGGTTAGTGCTAATTCAGAGGTTGGACTCGATGATCTTGAGGTCTCTTCCAACCTAGAAATTCTGTGATTCTGTGAAGAGCAGAAGCTGTGCCTCGTGTCGACTCTCACGTGCAAATTCCCTGAGGGAGCCACCCTCATCGGCTATTCCGAGATCTGGAAAAATGTGCTGGCATCTGGCTGCTTGGGCCACTGCTTTAACTGGGCTCGGGATCACACCAGCACTGCTAAGGACATGTGAGAACAACTCTGCAGAAAGAACCCAGGCTCAGGCAAGGATCTCAGTGAAGTAGCAATTTTATTTGTGGTTGCAATGGCAGGCATCCTGCAACCAGGAGTGCCCAGTAAGTTTATCCTAACCTCACATTCCCTAAGACCTGACACCTGATTTCTCCCGTTTCCTCATGGGGAACACCCTACTCGACTCTCTTCCATGCCATACATGTACAATTTTATTTGACCAACTGTTAATTTCTCCTTTTCCTTTTTTTTTTTTCCTTCTCTCATGACTAGAGGGCCCGTGATTTTTGTTTTTACTGATTTCGCACTGCTCGTCCTGTTTTTCGTAGGGATCCTCCTTATTTTGGGGCAGAGGGACCTTTCCCTTATCTACTTACTATAATCCCCGCTGCTATGCTACTGTCCTGCCCGCACAATCACTTTTGAATATACAAGGTTAGAGGATTTTTACACTGCAGAAACACAGCTTTATTTCTCACAGCACACAACACTGGGTACCCCCAGCCCCCAGACACCCAGCAGGGCCAGGGGCACCCTGGGCTGGAGCTGCCCCTTGCCATGAGTCCCGCTGCTGCTGCCCACAGGTGCCCTTGCAGCCCCGGACCCCCCCTGTACTCACAGCACCATCCCCTCATGCATGGCCCCATCCGGGTGCAGATTCTTGATGAAGGGGATGTTTAGGACCAGGTTAGTTTTCTACTGCAAATAAAAAAAACATTTTACTTTGTAGCATGTTTTACTGCAAGAACACACCCCTTTTTTTCTCTCCCCTGTTTGTTTTTTTTTTTTTTGCCTGGGCCTGCCCTTTTCCCTCTGATTTAAAGATCAAAGCCGAAATTTCCTTAAGTGGTATATTCTTTATTGCAGCGCTGGATGCACGGGGGATCTTTCCACCTATCGTGCATGTTCAAAGTGACAAACTATCTCATATATACAGCGAAACAATGAATATTCTATTAACACCTATGCAAATACATTCCCTAACCCCGCCTACTCTCGCTTCGTATGCTAATTAGCTTATCAGTCCTTGTGCTTGTGCAAAGCCTTCCAAGAATTGTGGGCCAGGGTCTTCAAAATGTGGGCAGTGGTCTTTGGGAGGAAGGCCGTAGGTCTTCCTCGTGATGCACTTTTCACCTTTTGCTTAATCAGTTGTTTTCCAAGCTGTAAAAAATGCTGAGTCGGCTTTCGGCCTAACTGGGGGTCGGCAGATAACGGGATGTCTCAGTTAACAAGACCTAACAGACCGTTGACTCAAGTTATCTCAAGTCTCAGCCTGACTGAGGGTTAACAGACAACGGGATGTTTTTCAAATAACAAGATGCTTCAACATAACAGAAGGTCAAAAAATAACAAGATGTCATTTACTTTGTTCTCATTAATTTTTAACCACAAGATTTATTCTATTCTAAAGTGAGTCTATACAATATCACCTCCATGCCTGCCCTCCTTCCCCCTACCCCTCTCACTTTTCTGTAAGCGAGAATGAAAGGGACCAGGGAGCGTCCCCACCCCAGCAGAGGCACTGTTTGAAGTGGTGCCAGAACCACTGACACAGTGCCCACAGGTGGCCCCAGCGCCCCATGAAAGGGCTGCATATAAGTAACCCATGGGACGCGGGCAGGGGTTGAAAAACACCACCAAGTGGAGCAGAGGTAACAACTCGCTGCAGCTCCAGGGCTGCTGGGACCGGGCTGGGGGGGCCCTGGGGGTCTGCAGCCGGGCACCGGAGTCCTTCTGTGCATGGAGCAGCTCACCCTGGGCTGGGTGCTGCTGGCCAGCACCCTGTTTGGCACCACAGCCACTGGCAGCAGGCGAGATGTCCGTGCTATCACAGAGAAGGTAATGGACATGGCCTGGGACTCCTTTGATGACCAGTACCAGGGCTGCAGAACTGAGATGGAGGAGAAGCTGAAAACAGTGAACCGCACTGAGTTCCAAAACAAGGTGTATGCAGACACCTGGAGAAAAGCAGCCAAGCACTGGCAGAAGCAGTGGGGCAACTCCAACCGCCCGCAGGTGCTGCCGCAGGAGCAGGCGGTGGCCGTGCTGGCGTACACTGACAAGGAAGACCTGTCCAAGCAGCTCAACGAAGCTATGCTTGAGGGTGGGTGCTCCCGCGATTACTACCTCCAATCCTTCCACTTCAAGATGCTGCATTTCCTCCTGACCGAGGCTGTGCACACCCTGCAGAAGACCCAGAGGCCCAAATGCAACAATGTCTACCGCGGCACGAAGGACCGCTTTACGGCCCAGATCAACGAGTCCGTCCGCTTCGGCCACTTCGCCTCTGCCTCCTTCAATAAGAATATTGCCCAGAGTTTTGGCCAGGACACCTTATTCGTTGTGAACACCTGCTACGGTGTCTCCATCAAGAGCTTCTCCTTCCGCCCAGAACAGGAGGAAGTCCTCATCCCACCCTATGAGGTCTTCAAGGTCACCGATGTCACCAGTAACTCCAGAACAAGCATCATTCATCTCAAATCCCATGGCATGTGCAGCACCTTCAACTGTACACTGGTGAATGGTAAGGGCAGGCAGCAGGGTGGGTGCCATCAGGAGATGGGCACAGCCCTGGGCAGGCGCCGCCGTGCTCCCCGCGCTCCTCCAGCCATGGCTGCAGAGGAACGGGGGCCCCGTGCCACCGGCTCTGTGAGGGGAAGGGGAGCCTCGTGGTGAAGACAACACCTCCGTGTGGGGAGCTCGGGGAGGTGGGGAGCTCGGGGAGCTTGGGGAGCTCGGGGAGGTGGGGAGCTTGGGGTGCCTGGGGAGCTCCGGGAGCTTGGGGAGCTCGGGGAGGTGGGGAGCTCGCCGTCAGACCAGGTCTTCCCTGTGCATCCCTGCACGCTCCCAGCTGCTCTCCCTTGGGGTTAGCAGTGGGGGCCCTCTGTGGCACGGCCAGGGCGGGGTGAGGGGCACAGAGTGGGGCGAGGGGCACAGAGCGGGGCAGAGCACAGATGTTGTTGGTCTCTTTGGCAGAGAAAATGTGGAAGGCCCGTCGATGTGTCCTCAGCTCAGGTAAGAGGCGAGCCCCCAGCCCCTTCCCACGGCCAGCACCGTGCTGGCACCCTCCGGCAGTCATTAACTCCCTGATCCCCCCCCCAGGCACGAGCAGTCCCAGGGAACCCCCACACCTCTGGAGTCTCCTCTTGGCAGCCGCAGCCCTGGCAGCCGTGGGACGCCTCTAACCCAGCTATGCTGCTGCTGCACCTCCGCAAGGGAAACGGGGCAGAAACGTGAGAACACATTTAATGGAAACTGTGGGATTACGCTTTCCTCTGCCGGACGCTTTCTGCTCCAGCAGGAGCGGTGCCACCGGCCCCACGATGCTCCGGTGGCCCTAGAACACCAGCAGAGGCTGGAGGAAGCCTTTTCCTGGCTTTTGCAGAGAAATAAAAGCACTGCTGGAGGATGGAGGCATCGAGGAGGGTTCCTGCGGCTCCCCGCAGCGGGGGCACTTTGCATGGGCAGCAGCCGGGGGTCTTCTCCAGCTCCCTCCTGGAGAGCGCTGCCCCGGGTCCTGCGAGGTGGCACGGGGAGCACTGGGGGCTCCTCCTCTCTGGGGAGCCTCCACGGCGGCTCAGGAGCAGGCATTTGGCTGGCACCTCAGCCCCCAGTGCCCAGATTCGGGCTCTGCAGGCGGGACGGACGGGGGCTGCCCCACGGAGCAGCGCAGGGCACTCAGCCAGCTCTGGTGGCACCGTGGGCACCTCGCCTTCCTCCTCACCCCGCGGGTGTCCCCTGCCCCCCCAGCACACAGGTGACACCAGGCAGCCTCAATGCGCTTTAATGAATCCCTGCTGCCCCACAACCTGCTGTGGGCAGGTGCCGGGGGGCCAGGGGCACCAGGAGCCCCGCAGTGGGGCTGTGTCCGTCAGAGCAGGGCCGATGCCCTGGGGCTGGGCAAAGAGCCCCCACAGCAGCCTCCCGACCTGGGGATGGGCAGGGTGAGAGCCCCCCGCTCCGCAGCCAGCCAGGGTCCGGCAAGGGCCGGGCTGGGGGCAGCTCCGGGCAGGGGGGTTTAGATAACTTACCCAACAGACGCCTGGATAATTGAGGACCTCATGAGAACCAGCGCCCGGGATCACAAGGCTACTTCCAGCTGCTCATAGAATGCCCCATCGACCTCCTCCTCCTCCTGATCTGGTGACCTGTAGCACACCCCCACAACAGTTTCCCCCATACCAGCCCACCCCTTAATTCTCACCCACAAACTCTCCTCCTGTCCTTCACCCTCCCCCAGCTGGAGCTGGGTGCACTCTAATTGCTCCCTCACATCAAGGGCAACTCTTCCCCAGCTTGTCTCTCCTGAAGAGTTCGTAGCCCTCCGTGACTGCCTTCCAGCCGTGCGAGCTGTCCCACCACGTCTCAGTGATCACACCAAGATCGTGGCCCCCGACCCAACACAGATCTCGAGCTCCTCCTGTTTATTTCCCATGCTCCGTGCATTGGTGTAGGGGCTCTTTAGGGAAGCAGCAGGTGCAGTTATCCCTGGGGGGATGCAAGAAGATGATTCCAGACAGGGGATTGGGATCATTGCTTTCTCTGAGGAGCCCTCAAACAATCCCATCCTCGAACAAGCCACTCGGAGGATTTTCCCTACTATCTTCAACCTACTACCCCAGATTGCCTTCAGCTGAGGGGTGCGAAAGCCACAAAATCCCCCAAATACAGGCTCTCCCCTGACTTACGGGTGTTTGTAATGACAATGGGGTTCACGGGTGCCCCCCCGGCACCTTCCCCTTCCTCACAGCTGGCCCAGGGGATGCACCTGATGTTTGGGGGACCCCTTTTTATTTGGGGGGGGGCATGCTGCCTGTGCAGGCAGAGGGCACATGGGCATGTGGGGTGTGCTGGCAGAGGGGCCCTGTGTCCTGGCGGGGGCTGGAGGGGGTCTGGGACCGAGCATGTGCATGGGGATGTAAATTCCAGGGGGGTTGGGGCAGCAACCCTTTGGCATGGGTCCATGGGGGCGTGCAGGGATCTGTGCCCCACTGGCTAGGGCTGGTTGGGGTGATTGGGGTCAGTGTGTGGAAGGATCAGTCCCAAAGCTGTTTTTTAGGGAGGGGGACCCCAGGCAGGTCCTGGCAGGGACTGCAGCTGGGGCTGGGGGGACCCCAGGACATCCCTTGGGCACGAAGGTGACGCCAGCCCGGGGAGGTGTTTGGGGTCGGGACCTATTTCTGTAGGGGAAGTGCCTGGCTGGGTCTCGTCCCAGTGGGTTCCCCACTTGGACCAGACAGCATCGCCCTCCAAAGCGTGCCATGGGATGCCAGGAGCTTGGCGATGTGGGCTCGTGGGTTTTCCTGGTGTTAAAAGTTGTCATTTTAGAACAGTGTCATGCCACGCTTCGCTGGCGGGGAATTAAAGGAGATCCCAGTTCCTGAGGGCTTGCATCTGCTTCTTCTCTGAGCGTGGTGCTCCTGGTGAGGGACAGCCTTCCCCTCAATGGCTCTGCAGTGGCCAAAATTGCTTTGTGATGGGCTTTGGGGGTGATTTGGCACCGCAGCCCGATCTCACACCCAAGATGCTTTCTCCCCGGCCAGCCAGCACTGCTCCAACCTCGGGTGCATGCTGCGAGCCCGGACGGAGGCACCTGGCTTCGCACCACTTACCCATGTGAGATATGTTCATCTAATTCGTGTCAGTATGGAACAATGCCAGGGCCGCAAGGTATGATGCCCTGGTCAGGCCTCACCTGGAGTGCTGGGTCCAGTTCTGGGCTCCCCGGTACAAGAAAGACAACAGGGATCTCCTGGAAAGAGTCCAGCGGAAGGCCACAAAGATGATCCGGGGCCTGGAGCATCTTCCCTGTGAGGAGAGGCTGAGAGACCTGGGGCTGTGCAGCCTGGAGAAGAGAGGACTGAGAGGGGATCTCCTCAATGTGTATAAATACCTGAGGGGTGGGAGGCAGAGGGATTTGGCCAACCTCTTTTCAGTGGTCTGTGGGGACAGGACAAGGGGCAATGGCCACAAAATGGAGCCCAGGCAGTTCTGCACCAACATGCAAAAGAACTTCTTCCCAGTGAGGGTGACGGAGCTCTGGGACAGGCTGCCCGGGGAGGCCGTGGGGTCTCCTTCTCTGGGGATGTTCAAGGTCTGTCCCTGTCTGGATGCCCACCTGGGCAGCCTGCTCTAGGGAACTGCTTTGGCAGGGGGTTGGACCCGATGATCTCCTGAGGTCACCTCCAACCCCTCCATTTCCGTGATTCTGGGATTCTGGATCACAGCAGGGTTGTGTCTGCTGCTGAGCAGTGCTGGCACAGCATCGGGCCTCTCTCTAACCCTCCTAGGGGGTGGGCAAAAAGTGAAAAAGGAACATTACCACGCAGCTGACCTAAACCAACCAAAGGGATATTCCATACCATGTGGTGTCACACTCAGCAATAAAAGGTGGGAACAAGAAGAAGAGGGGAATGGGAGTGGTGGGCTCTCATTGCGAAAACGTCGGTCCTCCTCCCGAACACCGTCTCCGTGCGTTGAGGCCCTGCTTCATGGACGTGGTCAAGCATTGCTCATTTGTGGGAAGTAGAGAGTAATTTCCGTCCTCTGTACTTCCACACAGCCTCTACTTTCTTGAGTTGTTTTGTGTGTGTCCCCCCCCCCTTTTCCCCTCCCTTTTCCCCTTTCCTTTTTTTCCCTTTACTTAAAATGTTTTAGTAATAATAATAATCATTCCTTAATAATCATTTTTCCTTTTAATTAAATTATCTGTATCTCAACCTGCAAGTTGTTCTTTCCTTTACTTCTTTCCCTCCTCTTCTAAGAAGGGGAAGTGAGAGAGTGCTTGTGGTGGAGTTCAGCTGCCCAGCACGGCAATACCAGCTCACAGCCCCTGCTCGCTGCCATGTCCCCAGTGCTGTGGCGGCCCCCCTGGGTGAGGGCTCACCCCCTGCATGGAGCTGGGCCACTTCTGGGCTCGGAGCTGCTCCTTCTGCTCCTCAGCAGCTTGGGGAAGATGAGGACAGGGAGCTGCCAGGGGCCAGGTCACCCAGACACAGTTGGGCCACTTCAACACAAAGCCAGGGCCACCTCTCCTCCCTGTGGCGCTGCCACTGCCCCCGGCCCCTCCGGGCACTGTCGCCACCAGTCCCGCAGCCGGCCCTAGGCCCGGCGCCGGCGGCAGCGCCGTGTTGTGGGCTGATCCCCACAGGGCTGTTCTCTCGGGCACGCTGCGCTTGGCTCTGCCGTTCCCTCAAGCCTTCGGGCCTCGCACTGGGCACCAGAAGGCCTGCTGTGCTTGAAGCTACAGGCAGCTCAGCACCGCACAGCCGCTCGCTCCCCTCCTCCCCAGCAGGGCTGGGGAGAGAAGGGACACTTGGATCTGGCTGCAGGAGCTGGCACTGAGCTCACTCGCACACACAGAGGCCTCGCCAGGAGCTGGCACGTAGGCCTCTCAGCACGCGGACACATGGGAAAGGCTGCGAGTGTGCAGAGAGAAAAGCTTTAATGCGAGAAATGCGGCGATAGGACACACAAACACTGACCGGCCCTGCTTTTTTATACCCCAAACCTAACCCCTCAGCAGGCCCTCCTGCTCCTCCTTCTCTACACACCCCCATGCCTCCACACAGCAGCTCCACATTATTTCAAGCTCCCCAGGCTCCCCAAGCTCCCCAAGCTCCCCAGGCTCCCCGAGCTCCCCACACGGAGGTGTTGCCTTCACCACGAGGCTCCCCTTCCCCTCACAGAGCCGGTGGCACGGGGCCCCCGTTCCTCTGCAGCCATGGCTGGAGGAGCGCGGGGAGCACGGCGGCGCCTGCCCAGGGCTGTGCCCATCTCCTGATGGTACCCACCCTGCTGCCTGCCCTTACCATTCACCAGTGTACAGTTGTAGGTGCTGCGCACCCCATGGGAGCGGAGATGGATGTGGGTTCCATTTGGGTAATGGGTGACATCGGTGACCTTGAAGACCTCATAGGGTGGGATGAGGACTTCTTTCTCATTAGGGTAGAAGGAGAAGTTCCAGATGGGGACACCGTAGCAGGTGTACACAAAGAATAAGGTGTCCTGGCCAAATCTCTCAGTAGCTTTCTTCTGGAGGGAGGTAGAGGCAAACCGGCCGAAGCGGACGGTCTGGTGGAGCTGGGCCGTAAAGCGGATGCCCCTGACGCCGCGGTAGACGTGGTAGCATCTGTGGCCCTGGGCTTTCCGCAGAGTGTGCAGGGCCTCGGTCAGGAGGAAATGCAGCGTCTTGAAGTGGAAGCATTCCAGGTAGTGCTTGCGGGAGCGCCCACCCTCACACACGGCCTCGTTGAACTCACAGTGCAGGCCTGTACCAGCAGTGTAGGCCAGCACGGCCACCGCGTACTCCCGCCGCAGCACCTGCAGATCGGTGGAGTTCTGCCACGTCTCGTTTGCTTCTCTCCAGGTGTCTGCATAGAGCCGATTTTTGAATTCAGTGCGCTTCACCTTTTTAAGCTACTCTTCCATCTCGCACCTGCAGTCCTGGTACCGGTCATCGAAGGAGTTCTGGGCCATGTCCATCGCCTCCTCCCTGATGGGGCTGGGGTCTTGCTCACAGTTGCTTCTGGTGGCCAAGGTGCCAGCCAAGGTGCCGGCCAGCAGCACCCAGCCCAGGCCGAGGTGCTCCATGTGCAGGAAGCTCCGGGGGTCCAGCCACGAGCGGGGATGGACCCGGTCCTCTGCAACCGGCTGAGCTCAGCCGCTGAGTGCAGCAGTACAGGGCACGGGCATCTGCTAGGGGGAGAGCGCAGGGTCGAAGAAGGCTGCAGGGAGAAGCGGAGCAGATGCATCAGGGGCACCTCCAAAGCCGCCCATGGCCCCCCTGGCACCAGAGGGAAGCACCCGCAGTGTGTGTCCCCAGCCACGGCCACCTGGGTCTTCCCCACCCCGATACCGGCCCGGACTCCAGCCCAACTACTTGCATCAAACACCGCAGACACCTGGGTTCCCCCGTGCAGCCCCGACATCCTCTGAGGCCGTAGCATTTGTGCCAGGAGGAGCCCTGGTGCTGCAGTGAGATGTTACCTCTGCTCTGTTGCATGCAGGACCCACGGCTCGGCGCTGCTGCAGGGTGCGTGGAGCTGGCTGCTCTGCCTTTTTATAGCAACCCCCAGACAGTTTATGTGCCAGCCCCCCATGACCACCCAGTTGCTGCTGGGCTGCTGCAAAAGGATGCAGGGAAACCAACAGGAAATCACCTTGTATCAGTTTCCCATGCTCTAGTGCATGCGTGTGTGGGTCCCAGTCCCTTGGGTGCTGAGAGGTGAGGCGCAGGCTCTGCAGCCCTCAGTGCAGAGGGGCTCCTGCAGGAGCAGACACTGGCTTGTCCTGGTTTTGGCTGGGATCGAGTTGCTTTTCATCACCGTAGCTGGTGTGGGGCTTTGGTTTTAGGATGAGAATGGTGCTGATAACACACTGCTGGCTTAGATGCTGCTGAGCAGAGCTCACACTAAGCCAAGGACTTCTGTGCTGCTCACAACGACAAAGCAAACGGCTCTGTGGTGCTGAGCTGCTTACCGGTTAAACCACAGCAGTCCTTTGATGTCCAGCAGGGGGCCCAAGGGATTGAGATAAGGACAGATCTGACCACAGCGTGTTAAAACAAAATTGTTGTTTAACAATTGTAATTTGTAAACCTTAGCTTCTCCCACGGCTTGCTTAGAATGCAGAGGAACTCCCACTCGGACTGGGGAGGAGGAAGAAGACGAGGCAGGCTGCTC